CCAGAAGAGAAATCTCTAATAAGGCTCCAGTCCAGGAACAAAAAAGCGAGATATCACAACTGATCCCAGAAGAGATACAAGATACAATATAATACACAAAATCATGCACACAAACTGGAAAAGTGGAGGAAATGACAAATCTAGAACACACAGCCTCCCTAGCTCAACCAGGAAGAAATAAGTACCCTGAGAACAGACCAATCTCAACAGCTGAAATAGAAACAGCAATAAAATCTCTCTATAAAAGAAAGTCCCGGTCCAGAGGCTTCACACCCATGTTTACACACACTTACAAAGAAGAACTAGTACCTATCTTGCAGAAAACTATTCCACACACGAGAAGAACGGAAACCTCCGACACCTTTTATGAAGCGAAGTATTACTCTGATACCAAAACCAGAAAGGATGCAACAAAAAAGAAACTAAGACCAATATCCCTAATGAATATAGATGCAAAAATTTCAACAAATCTTAGCTAACGTATCCAGACACTTATCAAAAAAATATCCACCATGACCAAGTGTTATCCCAGGATGCAGGTGGGTTCACACTACATAAATCTATAAATGCACACCACATAAACAGAAGCAAAACAAAGACCTCATGATTTCTTCAATAGATGCAGAAAAAGCTTTTGACAAAATTCAACACCCTTTCATGATACGAACACTTAAGAAAATAGCATAGAAGGGACATACCTAAAAATGATACAAGCCATAATGACAGACCCATAGCAACATCATACTGAATGGGGAAAAATTGAAATCATTCCCACTTAAAACTGGAACCAGACAAGCGGCCCACTATCTCCACTTCTGTTCAACATAGGCTGGAAGTCTTGGCTACAGCAATCAGACAGGAAAATAGAATCAGAAGTATCAAATAAGGCAGAAGAGATTAAACTTTCACGTTTGCTGATGATATGATATTGTATCTAGAAAACCAAGATTCACCAAGAAACTCCTGGAACTGATCAATGAATTAGTAAAGTCTCCAGGATACAAAATAATAACAGCAGAATCAGAGGCATTCATATACGCCAACAACAATCTAATTGAAAACCAAATCAAAGACTCAATTCCCTCATAGAGAGCAAAAGAGATAATAAAGTACCTGAGATATATTAACCCAAGAGAGAAAAGACCTCTACAGGAGAATATGAAACACTGAGAAGGAAATAGCAGAGATGTAACAGATGAAACTCCATACCATGCTCTGGATCGGCAGACTCAATATCATGTAAAAGTGCTATACTACCCAAACTGATCTACAGATTCAAGCAATACCTATTAAAATCCCATCAGCATCTTCACAGATACAGAAAAACATAATTTTACGCGTCGTATGGAACCAAAGAAGACCCCGAACATATCAAGAGCGATTCTAGGCAACAAAAACCAAATGGGAAGCATTAATATGCCAGATACCAAACTATACCACCATTAGTTTTTTAGGTTTATTCCTTCTTTAATTCTCCAACAGTTGTTATTTAGCAAGATACTAAAATTCCACATGACTCTCCTAGCATGAAACTCTAATTTTATATCAGTTTCATATGAAGGGTTACTACTAACACAGAGATTGTTTTAGAAAGGAGAAAAGAAGTTTTTGTAACTAAGATGTGACCCATTAGTTAGTTATCTGTAGACTTGCAATGATATACAATTATCACATTTCCATTAGCTAAAATAATTTCTACTGATAGATGTCCCTATATTTTTAATTTATTGTTAAGACCTAATGCTGTTTGCCTTCCAGTCATTCAGTAAATTTTTGTCATTTCCTCAAATATTTAGCAATCCTTTTAACACATGCAAACTCATACACTATACTCTATGACTCTTCTCTTCTCAATTTCTCATTTATTGACTTTGATTCATGTGCCAGATAATACTAGGTATTTTCTCATATAAACCATTTTTATTTTCAGATTTTTCTATTTGTACTTATATACTCTACCTAGTCTATTAAAACTAATTTTCTGTCAAACTTTCATCAAATTTAACCTTCTTGTATAAAATTTAACATAAATTTACTATTCCTCACCTTTATTCTCAAATCCTGAAAGACTAAGAACACAAAAGTGGTCAAAGAGCTAAGCACAAAACAAAACTCGTTAAATAACCAAACTCCAGAGATATGCATACCCATATAAACACATACAGAGAAGGTAGAGGACATTCTTGCAAATAATCAGAAAGCTTGGCAACATTCATCTCTTAATATATTTATTATTATTTGCCTTAAGATAAAATATATATGAATCAATCGGAACTCTTCAACCCTTGCCAATATTTTATTCAGAAATCTCTACTTCTCTATTTGTAATCTATAATTATTTTATGATTGGTCAAGTTTTTGTTAATAGTTATATTTTTAATAGTATAATATTTGAGAAAATTTGATCATTTGCCATATTCTGGAAAAGTTAAATAAAAGATATTATTTAACCTTAAAATTTTAAAAGACAGTTTTAAAACTTTGCAGATAGTTCTTTGAATAATAATACCACAAAAGTTCTTGCACTTCTTAAGTCCTCAGAGTTAGACTTTATTTAGAAACAAGGTTGGTCTTGAGGTAATTAGTTAACATGAGGTTAATGGCTACACTGGCTTTGCAGGGTGCTGGTTCCTGTTTCCATAGCAATCCTGGGTATGGATTAATACCCAGGATTGCTATGGAATCCTGGGTATTAGGATTCCAAGAAAAATGAAGCATATCTGTTGTTAGGATTATAGGGAGGAAATCTGGAAACATGAAAATTCTAGATTTGTGATTTAGTGGAGACCTGCCCTTCTTGCTGATGCACTCATTTTGACTTGGACTCTATGAGTCTTAGTTGGAAACCCAAGAACTCCTGGTCCTGCACCTTGAGCACAAAGTAGGAGGAATGTGATCCAGAGAGGAAGAAATTTAAGGGTCTGAGGTTTTGTCCAAGTTGTGCTGTGAGTAGCAAGTCTTGCAGCAGTGGAGGGACAATGTATTTAGAGAGTGTGAGCGCATGCACATGTTCATAGTGGAGTAGGTTAGGTCCTTAACCCAGGATGAACTAGTGTCCTTATAAGATGAGATAAGATACAGACAGAGACACACACAGAAAAGAGAACCCACACAGAAAAGAGAACCCATGTGAAGACTAACAAAGAGGGAGAATGTTAGGTAAGGTTGTTGGAGAAATTGGAGTGAAGTAGCCTCAAGCTAAGGACTGTGTGGGGCTACCAAAACTTGAGGGAAGACAGTATTCTCCCCTAGAAGACTGATTTCAGAATTCTGGCCTTCAGAATGGAAGAAAAAGAAATTTCTGTTGTTATAGGCATCCAGTTTGAGGTACTTAGCTTTTGTAGCCATAGGAAATTAATGCACTTGATAATGTCCTTTTAAGATCCTCCACAGTATTTTAAAGTTCCTCATTCTTTTCTATCCTCAATTCAATATTTCTCATTTACATTTTCTCAGGAAAATTGTTAATGCTACCAGTATCTTATACTTTATCAGCCAGGTGTTGAAGAAAGTAGTTTCCTTTAATCACCTCTTAAGTGCAGTAGTACTTATGACTTACTCTTTTTGCTTGTGTTTTCCCTTTTAATTAGCCTCCCAGTTTGGCCATTCATCTTTTCAGAAAAACATAAAGGAGATAAACATTTGTACTTATTTTTCAATTCTACTGTTATTGTGTTTTCAAAATATTAGTTTCAGTTTTTATCATATTTAATGCCTCTCCTTTTCTATTTTCTAGCTTCTTGAGTAAAATGCTTGGTTCAATATTTTCACTCTCTTATGTTAACATTACAGCACTTAACACTGTGCATTTTAATTGATTATTCATTAGCAGTTTCTCCTCAAATTAGAGTCAGCACAATTATATAAAACCAATCTTGTAACAGCTGAGGTCAAGAGGGAATTTCAGCACACTCTTAGAATAATAACGTTGTCAGGGAAACATGTACACAGCAGCAAGTTATGAGAGGGAAGCACATACCTGTGTAGTCCTGGTCAGTCTTTCACACTGCCTCTCTTCAACTCTCACTGCAGCCCCAGTCTTCTTTACTTTAAAGTCTTTAAGACTAATCCTCTTATACTCTTGCTCCCAGGCACAATGTTCATCACAAGCGACCTTTGATTTCAACCCTACCCTTGTCTTCCCCCACCAAGGTCTGGACATGACTTTTGCTGAGCATATATTCTATCACTCCAAATTCCTGAAATGCAATATCTGTGCCCTTAGAAATCATGACAAATTAATTATCAATTTGAACTTCACCCTCTGGTTAGCCTGAATTTATATTCTACCCTTTCCCACCTCCTAAATCCCTTAAAATTCATGGTCACTTATCAACCAAATACTGCTTAACCTCAACCTCTTCCGAAAACTGGTCCTTTACCAATTTGCTGTAACAGATCTGTCTCTTCCCTCTGAAATTAATGCTACACTTATCACTCTCTCAAGTGATGGATATTTTCATTCTCATGAGTGGAGATTTTTCTTCCTTCCTTCTTATGGCTACTTTTAAATATGAGCCCACCCCCTCTATAAATACACATAATTTTGACTTTCATATCATCTACCCATATCACACATGCAGAAAGTTCTCTTTGGACCTTGAAAGTTTTGCTAAGAAAATCTACTCTCAAAATGTAGATTAACTGGAGAAAAGACATAACAATTTATTTAACATGCCCACATGAGATCTTTAAGGATGAAGAACCAAAGTAGAGGTGAGATTATACATTGTTTTGCTTAAGATTATCAGAGTATACACTGTGTATAAATATGGTTGGGCAAAATGGGAATAATTTAATGGTAAAAGACTGATTGGGGAAACTCAACAAGGTCTGCACAGATTCTTCTTTTTCTTTCTGTGTAACATTCCTTCCTACCTGATGTAGGCAGGACCTCTTCAGAGCTGAGGGTCTTATGACCTACAATCAGGCAAGACAGGTCAGAGAATTTCTCTATGGCAATGTAACAGTGACAGTATCCAGGGCAAGAGAGTGAGACTCTGTCCAAATAAATAAATAAATAAAATCTACTAGAAGAATAATACAGATCTTTCAGCATTAGTGTCAGAAAGAGTAGGTTTTCTATTGTGCTGCTATCACTTCCTAAATATTTGCCTTTGGAAAAATTAGTTTACTTCCCTAAGCTTCTACATTTCCTATTTATTAAAGAGCACCTAACTCATAAACATGTTGCTAATATTATAGGAAAGAATTCATAAAAAAATATAAATCCCATATTTAGTATACAGACAGTGCCAAATATTTACTTTTGTAAAGCATAACATTTCCTTGCCATCTAAACCCATGTTTAAAAATAGGAGAAAAGATAGGGTGGAGCAATAAAGCCAAATAGAATCTGCCAAGGATTCTCTTTCTAGATGACACCTAATTCAACAACTATCCACAAAAGCAAGCAAATATAAAAGAAACAAAATTACATGAGTGATTTTACTACCCAAGGTCTCTTTAAAGAGTGAAGAGACTTTCCTGAGAAGATCCCCAGTAAACTCATTTTCCTGTGTCATAAGCCAGGAGTTTGTTACAATGGGAGCACCCTAAAAGGAATAAAAATCATAGGAGGCAACAGCCAGATAACCAGGGGCTTGAAGTCACAATTTAAGTTCAGTGATTTCTTCATTCATTCTTTCAACCAAACCACCTGCCAGGCACTGTTCTACACACTCTGAACACAGCAGTGAGCACACCTATACCTCTGCCATGAAAGTGCTATGGTCTGGCCAGACAGATTGAAAATAAATGAATAACTAAATATATATTGTATCAGGTGGTAATCAGTGCTGTCAATACAGGAACTTGTGTTATAAAATACAGTGGCTGAGTTGGGTGAAAGAAAAGATGACAGGACTCTAAGAATGAACACCAGGAGGCTGCACAGGGCTAGGACCAGGCTGAGGCAAATGCAGAGCCTGAGCTGTAAACTTTAAGGAGGGTCTCACTCTCACAATCTTGCCAGGGCTGATCCTGCACTTAGACGACTCCTAGACCATATGCCTCCTTAATGTTGAGCACAAGTGCCTTGTTAGTCTCTGCTTTGTCTGCCTCTGCCAGAAACTCATTCCCATGAACTTGTCCTATCACATGAGGAACAGGCATAGAGCTAGAGAAAAAGGTAGAGAGCCAAGTGCTGACATTTTCAATAGGTGGTGGTCACTCGTCCAGGCAGGAAGATGAGAAAGCAGAGACAATGGCTATCCAGAAGAGTGACTTGTCTGTAGTTACCTTGACCTTCCAAGTAACTTGGTCTATAGAGAGAAAGGATCTTGGAAATTAGGCTGGGAGTGTCGAAGGGAACCTGGCAGGGCACTAGGGGTATAGGAGGGACAGGAGTGCTAATGTGATGTGTGTAGGTATAGATGCCTATTAATCTTTAAAATAGCTCTCTTACCTACACAATTAAGAAAGAGGCAAGGTGAAAAACCAAATTCAAATATTATAACAGAAGAATGAAGATGTGTGCTGAGAATGACAGAATGTAAAATACATTCAATTTCATCCTTTGCTGTTTGCTACCAGCTGAATGAATGTGGTGTCGTGCAAGAAGGTACAAGGAGGTAAGGAAAGAGAGCAGTTCTTATAAGCAGTAATAGTATTTGTATGCCCTACTTTGGCTTTTTTGTTCTTCAGCCCTCTTGGAACCAAGTAGTATGGGAGGTGGGTAGCGAAGAGACAAGAAAATGGTCTTTTGCCAAAATCTATATATTCAAAGCAGTTTTCAAAAAAGGGAACACGTTTAAATGTCTCCAGATCTTTCATTCTTTCCTGATGTTCCTCAAAATAAATCAAGCTTAATATCTGCTGACACCAGGCAGTTCCTATAAAAGCAATAATTTTGTTTTTATTAATGCATGGCTTTCAGAAAAGTATAGATAACCAGTTTTTAGTCAAATAAAGTTTATTATTACAATAGGTTGTATGAGAATTTCATTTATGCAAGGTGACAAGGCTAAAGAGAATATATATTGCTTTTATTTTTCATTTAGGATGTTACGTGCGGTTTTTCACACAAATTTATTCTTTGTGCTTTCTTATGCTTCACCCATGGTACCTTTCAAATTATATTCTGTGCTTACCTCTAGATTTTTTTGTCCTAAATCTATTCCCTAGAGGATGAGCTAATATAATCACAGAAAAAAGGAATTGCAGTGAAGAAGTAACTTGGATTTTTTTCTCCATTTCCCCATGTTTCCCTCATGATTGCTGCTTAAGGAAACGGTTTCTATTTTAAGCACCTACAAAAGGACTTTTGACACCAACATGTAGACAGAAATGAAAAGTTAATAAGTGAAGTTTGACCGTTAACTTTTAAGTGTGATTTGAGAAAAGCAATTAGATTAATTCCAATTAGAGTTAACATTTAGTTTTCTTATACCTCTTATGTATGTTTAATATTTGGGACTAAGATTTGAAACATTCCTTGCATATAGGTTGTTTCTCCAGTTTTCAGTCAAAATTGGTTGAAATGGTTTACCTCACTGAAAAGTCACAAGTCTCAGTGGGATATTTCCCAAATTTCTGCTAGGAATAAAACTATTGCTTTTCAACAATTCCCATCCTGGCTCTTGATTGCAAAGACTATTCAATCACCCCTGGTGAGTAGCTGAACCTAGTGAGTAAGATCATTGTTGAGTGTACATCCCTTGTTGTCCGGCACAGGTGATATGCACCTTATATGTTCCTCTTACTACCTAAATATTGGTGGCTGCAGTCTTCAGTGTTGTACGGGAAGATTATGACCACATGTGCTTACTTGTAGTGATAGCTGGACCAAATATTCCACTGAAAATTCATTCATATGAAACTCTATAGAGTTTCTTACATCCGTCCTTATTTCCCAGGTAACACATACTGCTTCTAGAACACATTTCACAGCTTCAAGGCCACCAGCTCTAGTAGGGTAGGGGTTGTTTATGGTGACCAGAAGTGGTCATAGGTCTGTAGATATTGAAGAACAAGAAAACTGGAAGAGTGTGATCCCCATGCAAAAGAAGCTGCATTTCTTCTCCCTTCTCTCCTGCTCCTTCCTCTTCTGTTTCCACTTCCCTTCCCCCTCTCCCTCCCTCTTTTTCTACATTTTTTATTTTTACCCTGTTAAGATGTCAGATGTTAAAGTAAAGGGATCTTCATCTTTCCCTGCACTTCCTGTCATATTAACATCACTGCTTCATTTCAGTCCCTCATTTGTCTGCTTGTATGTTCCTTTTATTCCCATTTCCTACCTCAAATGCTACACCTCCCCTACCCTGCAACCAGTCAACTGGTTTTAAAGTGCATCTGTTTGCTTAAGCATATACTTTTGTAATGTGTACTGTTGTGAGTTCTTATATTTTCAACTTAAGTGGAGCATCTTATTTCTTATGCTTTTTTCACTGGGCACTATGATTTTAAGATCCATTATGTGCTACTTCTGATCTATTGCCCCAATCAGCTGTTGCCTCCTACTACATAGTGTGCACCCCTGGGTTTTACCTATCCACTTTCTCACTCAGGGACTTCCTGGCCAAAGCAGCATAGTAATGCGCATCCTCATTTTGTTCCTATGCATGGACCTGTTTAAGAATTTCTCTAGGATAACTATTCAGGAGAGCAATTGCTTGTGTTGAAAATGAGATCGAAATGCTGAAGGAATGGACTATTTGTGGTAAAAAGACACCAAATTATAAACAGGACCTAAGGCCATGCTAGGCAATGGTTGAGTCATGCACCCCTACATTTAAAGTATGAACTAGGTTTGAGGTGCCACAAGGTGTTTCTTTTTCCTAGCAGCTAAACATGTACTGGCCTGGTGCTAAGCAATACTGAGACAATTGTAGCTAGCCTTGACTGCCATATGTGACTAACTAAACAGCTATTCCACATGCCACACTGTACCTTTGATTGGACAAGTGACTGATTTCAGTAACTTTCTCCTTATAAGAGACCACCACCCATGGAGTATTATGGTCAACTTACAGATACTGATCACTGAGTGCCTTTGTGTCCTTACTTCACCTTTTGATCATAGGGCCTAACTGGAATGCAGTTAAATGTGGTCTCTACCCCCAAAGTGAACATGGAATGTATGTTACACGCATGTTTGCTTACTGTGCATGTGTGCATCCCTTCTTGGAGAATATTCATAACTGCATCTAAAATCTATTGAACAGGTATGCTTGTCTACTCAGTTCAGCATAAATTCCTGTCTCATCCTTCCCTGCCTCAAAGTGGTTGATTTTCGATTTCAACCAGAGGCTGAGCCTCCTTTCTGGAGCTTGTGACTCTCTATGAGAAATAAAGAAACAAAGTTCTCCTCTCCAAAGTTATGAATCCTCAGACTTTTTCTGAGACACTTAGTGTGACTGTACTAACATGTCCAAGAAGTGCCAGATTCCTCTGCAGAGATAACTATTTTAGTCTCTTCTCCCGTCAGTAATACACTAATGATGTAGATCTGCATCCACTCCCTGTCCGCACTTGACATATTGACCTTTCTAATTTTTATTAGTCTATGTGATAGTTAATATTATGTGTAACTGGAGTGGGCTAAGGGTAGCCTAGATTTCTGGCAAAACATTATTTCTGGTTATGTCAGTGATGTTGTTTCAGGATGTTTCAGGGTGTTTCTAAATAACTTCAGAAAGTCAGGATGAATGTTTTGAAACAACTGTCTCCTTGCTGTCCTACTTAGGACTCCCTTATGTTCATAGGTCACTGTTAAAATCAATTGAGCTGGCCAGGCGCGTTGGCTCACTCCTGTAATCCTAGTACTCTGGGAGGCCGAGGCGGGCAGATTGCTCAAGGTCAGGAGTTCGAAACCAACCTGAGCAAGAGCGAGACCCCGTCTCTACTATAAATAGAAAGAAATTAATTGGCCAACTAATATATATAGAAAAAATTAGCCGGGCATGGTGGTACATGCCTGCAGTCCCAGATACTCGGGAGGCTGAGGCAGCAGGATCACTTGAGCCCAGGAGATTGAGTTTGCTGTGAGCTGGGCTGACGCCATGGCACTCACTCTAGCTTGGGCAACAAAACAAGACTCTGTCTCAAAAAAAAAAAAAAATTAATTGAGCTGCTTCTACTTCAGTAGCACAGCTAGTAGGAAATTCCAATCTTTATGTTGGTTCTTGTGAGACAGAATTGAGAATCAAGTGGGAAGATTATAAACAAATGCCATATCTGCCCATAGTAGACAGATTTACTCTGGAAGATTAGACATTTTCTGAAATTCTATTACAATAAATCACCGTTTATCTGCCATCACAGCCACTCAAGTGGGCAAATGTTCATATGGTCTTCATCTCACTGGATCACACAGGTAGAGCAGGATTCTGAGGCTGGTTCTTCAGGTATTGTTTTGTGACATCTTTGTTAAGGGTTTCACAATAACCAAGCAGTTTGTCTAAAAATGGGATGAACTTTATAGGGAAATAATCCAGGCACTACTCAAACTCTCTGCTCACTTAGATTATTGACCTTAACTGCTCCTTCTTGTCTATTATTAGTGCTTCTTGAATAACGTGTATGTCTTGCCATCTGCTAAGATAACTAATGGCTCTTTTGTACCTGCTGACTTAACACTGAGCACATTACATGATTTGGATCACAACATAGACCCATCCCCACACTCCCACAGTCATCTTTACTGTGTAGATACCAAACTAAGCAAAGCCAGCTTGTATTTCTGACTTTAGTAGCTTTGGATCTCATGGCTTCGTTTTACCCATTGTCACCATTCTCTAAACAGAAATTTTATGTGAAGAAGGGTGTCAATCTCTATTATTGGAGAAATCTTAAACGGTAAAATATTAAGTTTTATTATGACCTAAATTTGAGTTTGTGGCTAACTATTTATACTGCCTTTCTCTCATAGTGATTTCTAAATTTAAATAAGAAATATTCATTTCCTTAAGACCAATATGTTAATGGTTAGTAAGGAATAATTGTCAGTCACTAACTAAAATGAATAAAAAGCAAATTAAAACTTGTAAAAAGCAAATTAAAATTTATTTTCTTTAAACTTTTAAATTTTTTATTGGTCATATAGAGTGCAAATGTGAAAAGTTTATCAGTTTCCAGTATTTCGGTGCAACTTCTGAACTGTAACTAACTGACCCCTTAGCTATTCTGGCCCAGATTTATATTAAAAGCAATGGGACTGCAAACTAGTACACCCTCTATGGAAAGTTGTATTGAAATACCTCAATGAACTAAAAGTAGAACTACCACTTCATCCAGCAATCCCACTACTATTTCCCAAAAGGAAAAAAAAAAACATTATATAAAGAAAGACATCTGTACTTGAATGTTTATAGCAGCAGAATTCACAATTGCATAGATATGGAAATAATCCAAGTGCACATCAATACATGCATGATATACATGTACCATAGAGTACTATTTAGCCATAAAAAAAAAAAATAACAAACTACCTATTGTAGTACCCTGGATGAAGCTGGAGCCCATTGTACTAATTAAAGTATCACAGCAACAGAAAAACAAACACCACAGGTACTCATCATTAAATTTATAATAATCAATCAACAATTATGTGCACATATGGAAGTAACATTCATTGGTGATTGGGCAGGTAAGTGGGGGAGTATGGGAAGGGTAAATTCTCACCTAAAGGGTGCAGAGCAGGTTGTC